CGGTTTCTAGCACCCGCATCAAGCAGATCACAACTGCCTCTAATTCCAGTTCTAGGAGATCCAATACCCGCTGGCCTCCGAGGGCACTGAATGCACACAGTGCACATAAACTCATGCCGGCAAGCAAATATAAACATCAAATAAGTAATAAATAAATCGTTTTTTAAAACAAGGAAACCCTTGTAAATGAACATTGCTTATTTATTTATTTATTTATTTACTTACTTACTTACTTTTTTTTTTTTTTTTTCTGAGACATGGTTAAATCCCCAGCTGTCCTGGAATTTAACTCTATAGACCCGCTGACCTCGAACTCAGAGACCCACCTGGCTCTGCCTCCCCAGTGCTGGGATTAAAGGTGTGCACCACCATGCATAGCTGAACATTTTATTAAAAACCAACCAAGTAACAGTTGGGCTCACAGGTTGGCTCAGTAAGAGTGCTTGACATCCAAGTTGACAAACTCGAGTTCCCTCATGTGGAGGTGAGAACCAATTCCCAAAAACTGCTGTCCTCTGACCTCCACATTTTCAGTGGCATGAGTATCCCTGCAGTCACCTGTACATGTCACACACACACACACACACAAGCACGCAGAGTAATAATGATAAATAAATAAACATAAGAATTGTAAATCTGGTCAACCTATATAAAAGATGGAAGAGTTAATTTCAGGTTTAAGGAATACTAATTTTGTTCATTTTCTGACACAATGAGACAAGGAAAATAGAAAAGACTATAATTTAATTAGAACAGATAATTACTTGGACTTTTACTTGAATGTGAAGAAACTATACAGATGTCAGTGTTGGAAATTGTAACTGGTTGTTAGGATGAGAAAATAAACACAGAGAAGGGTTTGGGGACCAGTCAAATATGAAAAACCAAATATCACCAGGTTTTTTTTTTCCTTTATATTTGTCAGCAACTTCTATGAGTTTCAACTTTTCTTATTCTGTCTCCCTTTCCAATTCTGATATCATTAAGTTCTTATCTTTAATCTAGTATGTCTGTTCATTTGCTTTCTTTATTTTTTTATGTGTAATGTATGTGCAGGCATGTGTACCTGTGATTGTGCATGCGGAAGTGATTGATTGATGTTGGATGCCTTCCTTTATACTTCTCTGCCTTTTTTTTAAGATTTTTAAAAAATTAAAGATGATTTTTATTTTACATATATATGTATATAAGTGCCCACATGTATGTATGTGCACCATGTGTGTCTGGTGCCCACAGAAGCAGGAAGAGGGTGTCAGATACCCTGGCACTAGAGTTCCAGGAGGTTGTGAGCGGCCATGTGGGGGCAAGAACAGCAAGTGTCCTCAACTGCTGCGCTGTCTCTCAAGTCACAACGACCTTAGCTTTTGAGAAGGGGCTCTCACTGAACGTGGAGCTCACTGACTGGTCAGACTGGCTGGCCAGCAAGCCCCTAGATCCACCTGTCTCGGTCCCCCCAGTGCTGGGGTTACAGGTGCACGCCACTAAACTCAGTTTGTATGTGAGTGCTGGAGATCTTCCCTGGGATGGTCCAGCAGGCACTTTATCCACTGAGCCATCTCCACAGCCCAGTTACAATTCTTTAAGGAGGAGAGGGACAGAATTTCACCATGCAGCTATGGCCGGCCTGGAACTCTATGTAGGCCAGGCTAGCGTAGAACTCACAGAGGTCCACTTGCCTGTGCCTCAGCATGTAGTTAGGGTAGATAGGATCTTTTTAAAAAGATCTTTGTTTTTATTTTTTGTTCTCTCTATTCAATACTTCCTTCCCATTATAAAGTGACTTCTAAAATAATATTATCTTAGAATTATTAGGAAAAAATGGACAGACTTACTGGCTTTATCTAGTGTTACAGAGTGAAGCACATCAGTCTTAACAGACCCTTTAGTTTGTCTCTTCGAGCAGCTTAGCTGAACTTCCAGTTTGGGCTCGTTTGCACTGGGGTTTAAGAATCAGTTGGCAAGCATTCAGCAAGTGTTGCATGCAGCCCTAAGTCTGTAAGGCTGTCCCAGCCTGACAACGTTCAGTCTCTATTTGGGTACCATACCACCACCAAGCTTCAGACACTGCTTCAATGTCAGCACTCAGCTGATGGTGATCAAACCACGGAGGAAGCAAAAAACTAGAGGAGGCCTTTACTAAGGCAGCAGCATTATAACTGAAAGGTGAACACACAGAATGATGTAAAAGGGACAGCAAATAGCGAGGGATCTGACAGGAGTAGAGATGTGAGCGTGGGCATGAGAAAGGCCACTAGAGATGGAAGGAACAGGACAGAACAGGAAAGCTATAAATATTCAGACACTCAAGGCAGGGCACAGCGAGATTCAATTTTGGCAAGAGAAAGTGCGGCCATTCAGAATGCCTTGGAAGTTGGGTGGGGATTTTAGGATGAGGTACCCATAAATGAAAAGGGAAGAGACTGAGTAAGAAGATGACTTGGGCTCTCTCTCATTTGGTTAGATGGAAGAGACACACAGGGAGAGATGTCAGAAAGGAATTACAGACTTTAAAGAGAGATTGCCAATTAAAGAGGACACATCATCAAGAATGCTTAAGAATCTAGCCTGGGAAAACAGGAAGACAGAGGCATCACTGAGGTTTGGTAAAGGGGTGATTTAGAACACGTTAGAGGAAAGTATAAACTAACAGAACTACCCCATGACTAGTCTACAGAACAGTGTCAGAGCACAGCTAAACTCCAGGGAGTGGACTGCTATGCAGAAATACCTTGCTGCTACTTAGGGCTCTATGACTACAAAACTACATGTTGCTAATCTCCAGTCTTAAAGTTGAATGCCATAGGAGAGCAACATATCTCTATAAGGATATTAGTGCCTAACATTAGTAATTTGCCTGACATTGGTTTGTTAGCAGCCGAGCAAAGGCAGGCTTGCTTCTCAACTCTTGTCATGATCCTTGATTCAAAAGCTTCCCAGAAGAAAGGGACTCTCGAGGCCTTTGTTTCAAAGAGAGGCAAGAGATGAGGCCGTGGGAATGCATCACCATTGGCCAGTGGAAGCACAGAAAAAGAGGGAAACCCAGCAGACACCGGCAACTGATGGAAATGCGGAAGGAAGAGAGCCTGATGAGAGACACCAAGCTGATGGGAAGGGCTGAAGGTAGCGGAGGGGGACAAGTCAAAACCAGGAAAAGTGCAGAGTCAGGAGAGCCACAGTTGAAGCCAGGACCTGGTGATCCAAAACCCTAAACACATTTGGAAGAAGGGGGCCATTCAGCATCAAGGGAACACAGCAGATGGCTGAAGTTTTCAAAAATCTAACTTTTAAAAATTAAAGAAACTCTCCCAGATGCTTATCAATGTTCATTTAATACATCCCCTGGAGAGCTGAGGTTTTTGTCTTGATACATTAAAAACTTTCTACTTGTATTTTACAAGTTATATTTATAAAATGTAAGTGGAATGTTTTCAGTACTGAAAGTAAAGTTATCTGTTAGCTTGTCTTTTAGAACTGCAATTTAATCTTTGATCTTACTTTTATTTATATCTTTTGGTCACGTTGGGGTTCAAACCCAAAGATCTTGCTTGTATTAGGCAAGCACTTTACCACTGAGCTATATCCCTAGCTCAATATAGTTCTTTAAACGATAGCTCAAACATGTTTCAACATCACCTAATCAGATTCCCTACTTTTTATTTGGCTTTATCTTCTACTTGCTTAAGAGACTTCTGATAATGCAAGCAGTAGCTGCTATACTATACTTACCTATTATACTACATAGAACTACACTGTACCCTGTTTCACCAATGCTTAACTAAGTTCAATAAAGGAAAAGCATGTGCTCTAAAAAGCAACACTGCAGATTATATGCAAACCTAAACTATATATGATTTAACAAGTTATAACAATAAATGCCATTATAAATGTGTTATAAATATAAAAGCATGTTCATTCTTTTAATTGCATATGTTGTTTCTACCACTTCTTTCTCTCCCGGGACTGAATCCAGTTCTTGCAGACTAGGCAAAGGTTCTATCCCTGAGTGACTGTCTGTGCCCTGTGTTTCTGCATTAGGTGGTAGCTGGCAACAAAAGGAACTGAGCTATTACTGTCCTAACACGACATATACATTTTTAAACAACATACGCCTTCATTAGTTGCCACTAATGTGAAACACAGTATCTTGGCACAAAGCAAGCTAAATCCAGGAAATTTCATCTAACTTTAAGTGTGAGTGAGTGTGTGTGTGTGTGTGTGTGTGTGTGTGTGTGTGTGTTCACGCAGAGGATTTAATCTCAGCCTCTACCACTGAGCTATACCCAACACCCCCAGTCCCTAATTTTAAGTTAAAAAAATAGTGCTAATCAAACGACTTGTGACCGACCTTGTTCAAGTCTGTAGAGGGTCTTCTCTAGCTTTTCCATGTCGTTCAGTAGTAAAATTCGAATCTGTCTACTGTGCTCCATTTTGGCTGCCGGAGGATTTGAACTCTTTCCGTAGAATTAAAAGGAATCCAAAGCGGAATAAGTTAGCCCTATAAAACAATAGGTAATTAGGAAAAAGAAAATACGAGCTAAAACTCTCCAGAGTTGACAGCGGCACTTACATGTCCTAGATAGATTTAAAGCCTAGAAGAGCAATGAGAAAGAAATGAAACCTAGTCGGTAAAATCCAACAAGGGAGAAGAGTTTCTTCTCTCTTGGAGCAGAACAGCAAAGCCAGAAGCAAAAATACAGATTCTTACAGTCAAAACAGAACAGACCAAAAAGCTAAAGACTTCTCAGAGAAAAGCAACGCATATGGGAAAGCCTGGAGTTCAGGGGCAAAAACTCCGTGCCGAGCCAAAGGGCCCTGAAATCTCCAAATGGCCCTGCAGCCTCCAGGGGATCAGGCTGCTCAGGGAACAGGTGGAAGAGCACCCGGTTCCCAAATTCGGGTCTGAAGCCACCAACGGGGAGGTGATTAGAGAAGGAAGCAGTTGCTGTCCCGGGAATAGCTGGGGCGGCATTCGATGTACAGAGCGGCTATAGATAGAAAGAATGCACGTCCAGAGCCGGATGCATTCCAGGCACTTACGAGCGGGACAGACGTGCGGCGGCGGGAGCGGGAGCCGGGCACAGCGGGAACGCAGGGCCGAGCGGCAGCCCAGCCGGGGAGGGCAGGGCGCCGTCAAGGGCACGGGGAGGGACGCTCGGACCCAGGCCAGGTGACCGAGACCGGCCGGGGCCGCCCGAGACTCCGCCCCGCGCGGCCGGAGGACGCTCCGACTGGGCTCGGCCGCCCACTGGCTCAGGGGGGGCGTGGCCCTGCCTCCCCGCCCACTTCCGGGAGCCCTCGGTCCCGCTAGCGCAGACCACTGGTCTCGCGAGAGGTGGGCGCGGCGGGGTTGGAGGGGGTCTGGGTCTTGGAGCCTTGTATGGTCATGACATCAGGGGGCTCCCTGTTACGTCATCACCGATCCCCCCCCCCTTCCAGGAACAATGCATTAAAGAGCAGAGATAGGCGGGGACAATGTTTGGGGAAGTTCTCCCTGTAAAGCAAATGCACGTTAAAGGAAAAAGCAATTTCTTAAGACATTGTGCAAGTCATCTAACTTCTCTGCAGCCTAATTTCCTAAAATGTCATTGACTCCCCGCAACACACACACACACACACACACACACACACGCACACACACGCACACACACGCACACACACACACACACCATAATAATAAAATACCTGAAATGTTTCAGAAAATAGTGTTATGTTCTGTAACTAGTCAATAACAGCTACAATACTGGAAGAGATGCACCAGGTACTCTTCCAAGTCCATGGAATGAGTGAAGTTCTCTGTGATGGTTGGTTTTAATGTTAACTTGTCACGGGCTAGTCACTGGGAAGAGGGAACCTCAACTAAGGAGCTGCCTGCATCAGATTGGCCTGTGGGCATGTCTGTGGGGGCATTTCCTTGTTCTCTGATTGCAGTGTGGACCCTGAGCAGATGGTGCTGAGTTCTCTAAGAAAACAGGCTCAGCAAACCACGAGGAGCAAGCCAGTAAGCTGCACTTCTCCGCGGTCTCTCTTTCTGGTCCTGCCTCCAGTCCCCCCACCCCCACCCCCCTCGCGACAGGGTTCCTCTGTGTAGCTTTGGTGCCTGTCCTGGATCTCGCTCCGTAGACCACACTGGCCTCGAACTCAGAGATCCGCCTGGCTCTACCTCCCGAGTGCTGGGATTAAAGGCGTGCACCACCACCGCTCGCTTGGGCAGCACATATACTAAAACTGCCTCCAGTTCTTATCTTGAGTTCCTGCTTTGACTTCCCCCAATAAGGGACTGTGACCAGGAAGTGTAAACCAGATAACCGCTTTCTTCCCCCAGCTTGCTTTTGATCAGTTTTTTTTTTTTTTTTTTTTTATCACGACAAACATTCATTTTTGTTACCGTTGATTTAAAGGTAAGGAAACCGAGGCCCCAAAAGGTTAACTAACTTGTTTGACGCCACTTAATGAAAAAGGGAGTGAATGTGATTTCAAGCGTTATCTGAGGATGCTGACATTATTTCTGTGGCTTGGTATCTATAAAGACTTGCTTTCTAGCTTGTAAGGACATTCTGGATCTTCTGGGACAGTCTGCTGCAAGCCGCAAAAATATACAAAGTAGGATTTCAGCCGATGATGACAAAGCTAATACCTGGAAGAAGCTAAGAGCCTTCCAGAGGTCAAACTGAGGCTCAAGGAGCCTTGGTGATATTTGGCTTTTGATTATCAGCCGTTTCCTGCTATGAGTTTCTTGTGCGCTGTTGTAGTTTTTCATCATTTATTGGGCACCATTTCCCCTCTACTAAAGGAATATTTAGATAACCTTGTGCGCTGATAGCACACAGCCAGAACCCCAGTTCAAGCCTCCCTGTAATTATCATCATTGGCAGCATCCGGCCAGGTCCATCCCCAGAAGGAGGAAAGTACCTTATCAGAGATACCTCCGTACTCTCTAAGAACAGACTTAAATGTCCAGACCTTCCGTTTGAGAAGGTCTGGCGGATGTGCCAATTAAGCTTAACTTCCTCCTTTTCCAAATCTTACCACTAGTTCCAGATCTCCCTTTAACTATCACCAGAGGCATCTACCTGTACACAGGTTGCCTAGCAACTGAGCACACCTTCCCCCACCCTGCAGAAAAAACGGCAGATAGCTTGGACAGATAGGAGCCACAGGAAAAAAGAAGACAGTTTTATTTTCTCCCATTGACCTAGCAATTTATAGATTCTTAACATTTTCTACTAATCACGTTTAAGACTGTAGTTGAGCACATAAAATCCCTCTTCTTAGATATTACCCGAATTTAGCCTTTAGTTAATTCATTTCCCCATTGGTCACTTCCCTTGGGGGTTGCAAATGATAATTAATGGTTATTTCCCCTCTATGTGATTCTTATCACCCCTCCATTTGACCCCGGAAGCCTGGCTTTGGACTGCCAAGGGATTACTGCTTGTAAGTGTATATACACCAGGACTTTCAGGGCACTGGAGGATGGGGAAGAGAAAATAGAATGGAAGGACTAGATGGGTAAGAACTTGAGAGGAACAAACTGAGATGGGGAAGACCTAATTTGAAGGGCTAGAAGAGAGTACTAGAGGAACGAGATGGAAGATGAGGAAGAGCCAGATGGGGAAGAACAAGACCAGAGAGAAGGAGATGGGAGAGGAGCTGATATGGGAAAGAACTAGATGGATGAGAACCTAGAAGGGGCAGAACTAAGATGAAGGAATTAAGATAGAACCTGGAGGGGACAACAGATAAATGTAAAGAGAAATTGGGCAAGAAAGGAGCTAAAAATGAGAGAGGAGTATAAGCTTGTAGAGAGAAAACTGACAGAATAATAAAATGTATGGACTAGGGAATTTCATGTACATAGATTGATTTCTTCTCATCAAAGGCTAATTATCAGCTGCTTGTAGATACTTTCCGGACCCTGGGAGGGGACTATCGAGGGGCTGGACCTCCATAGTTCCCAATAACAGTCCTCTCAGGATTTCCTCTTCAGGAAGTCTGCCTGTCCTGTTCTTCTTCCTTGGACAGATTTGGTGTTCTTTTAGGCCTCTCCCCTCCTGGGCTCTTAGGAAGTGTGGAAGCCAGAGAGTGCCCTCTGTGAACAGACTACAAACTGTTGCATGACCATAAAATCCCCTAGTTCAAGGCTGCTAGCTAGGCTGAACAACACAGCAGGTCTTCTTACGGGGAGAGTTGAATGGTAGGAGCAGATGACCCAGCTACCATACTCTATTGCTGTGTGTTGGGTTTCTTAGGGGTTTGTTGTTGTTTTTTAACATAGATCAACCTAAGTTTTCTGATCCCCAATCTTCCCATCTGAAATAAGGATCATACCCACGTTCTCTGGCTTTTCATCTGGTACGATTTCATCCGACTGTCCTATGGCCAGCTCATTATGCTGACCCCTGCCCCTGCTCTGTTGACTGGTGTTCTCCAGGCCGCCCAAACTAGCCTTTCCCATTGTCCCGTGTCCAGCAAAACTCTCACAGTAGTGCCCAAATCTCAAATAAATAAAAGAAGTAAAGTATATTGAGGACGTAATTTTTTTTTTTTTAGAAGTGAGTTATTCTGATGAAATTGCTAGAAATTTTCAAGATTTGTGAAATCAGCTCAGCTTTGGAGGTTTCATATTGTGAAATGAAGAGAATGATAAATGACAGCTGATGTGGTAGGATATGCCTCAAAGGGTAGTTTTACAAGTCACACAACGTGTTTTTTTTTTGTTTTTTTTTTTTTTTTTTTAAGGAGAGAAGTCACAGGAATGTGCTATCCATGAAGTTCTTGGGATGCCAAAGATTGTAGTCCACAATACCATAGCAACATGTGCATGCCAGCAAACATTAGTCACATTTGTGGTGTCCTATGCTTGTAGGATTTATATATATATATATATATATATATATATATATATATATATATATATATATATATATATAGCAGATATTATAGCTGTCAGGAGAAAGTCCTTGAGGACCTCCTAGTAGATAACCTCAGCTACTTTGCAAGGATACTGGTATTTCCTCAACAGTGATGTT